GACATGCTTACAGGAGTAAAGTGGTTTAGCTCGCTGGATCTAAAAAGTGGCTACTGGCAAGTTGAAATTGACCCTAAGGACAAGGAGAAACCTGCGTTCTCGACGGAAAAGGGTCTGTGGCAATTTAAAGTAATGCTGTTTGGATGGTGCAATGCTCCAGCAACGTTTGAAAGGCTGATGGAACTTGTACTTACCGGGCTAATTGGCGATGCCTGTCTGGTCTACTTCGATGACATCATCATCGTAGGTCGGACGTTTGAGGAACACCTTCAAAACCTGGAACGCGTGCTCATGAAGATTCAGAGTGCCAACCTCAAGTTGAGTCCGAAGAAATGTTCACTATTCTAGCTAAGTTTTTGGGGTATGTAGTATCGGAAGAAGGTATCCTCACGGATCCAGAGAAAATCGCCGCTGTCTAGAATTGGCCGGTTCCAAAAGACAAGACGCAGGTTAGAGCATTTTTGGGTTTGTGCTCCTATTACCGGCGATTTGTGAAGAACTTTGCAGATATAGCCAAACCTATGCACAAGCTAACCGAGGAGAAGTGACATTTCTGCTGGGATGAAAGTTGCAATATCGCATTCCAGGAGCTCAAGGACCGTCTGCGCAAAACACCTATTTTGAGACACCCTGATGCAAGCAAAGAATTTATAGTTGACACGGACGCAAGTGATATAGGACTTGGCGGTGTATTGTCTCGACGGAATGGTGACTAAGAGGTCGTAATAGCGTTCTCCAGCTAGTCGTTGTCAAAACCGGAAAGGAACTACTGTGTCACAAGACGCGAATTGCTAGCTGTGGTAAAGTCGTTGCAGCATTTTAGCAAATATCTTCTGGGATGAAAATTTCACTTACGAACTGACCATGCTGCACTAAAATGGCTATTGCAGTTTAGAAATCCAGAAGGATAAGTTGCGAGGTGGATTGAACTACTGCAGGAATACGACTTTGAGATCGAACATCGCAGCGGAAAATCTCACGGCAACGCAGATGTATTGTCAAGAAGACCTTGTCCTGAAAATTGCAACCATTGTACTAGGCAAGAGAGTAAGGAAGAGGTATCTGTGGAGATGCTCAGGACAGACCACCTCAGCAACGAGTGGAAGGACAGCTTACTACATGCACAGCAGGAAGATCCGGACATCAAGCCGATTCTGGAATGGATAAAGGCCAGTGCTCCCAAGCCCAAGTGGAGCGACGTCTCAGCGATGAGTTCGACCACTAAAAGCTATTGGGCCCAGTGGGACAGCTTGCTGCTTCAGGATGGAGTTCTGTGTCGTAAATGGGAAAATGTTCGGGGAGACAGCTGTCATTTGCAAATGGTTGTCCCTAAAGCTAAAGTACCCGATGTTCTAGAGCTGTACCATAATGATTGTTCAGGACGCCATCTGGGAGTTAAATGAACTCTACTGAAGATCCGAGAACGGTTATATTGGGTCCACTGTCGAAACGATGTCAAGGATTGGTGTCGCAAATGCACAAGTTGTGCGGCTGTAAAGGGACTTCAAACTCGTAGTAGAGGTGCATTGAAGTTGTACAATGTTGGTGCACCATGGGAGAGAATAGCCATTGACTTGGCGGGGCCGTTTCCGGAGAGTGAAAGCGGTAACAAGTATTTCATGGTTGTGATGGATTACTTCACTAAGTGGCCAGAAGTCGTCGCCATTACAAATCAAGAAGCTTCAACAGTTGCGGATAAGCTAGTCCATGAAGTCTTCTGTCGTTTTGGAGTATCTTTAGTGATTCACAGCGATCAAGGAAGGAATTTTGAGTCTCAAATATTCCAGGAAACTTGCCGAATTATGGGTACTCATAAAACAAGAACGACTTCTTATCACCCGCAATCTAATGGAATGGTTGAACGATTTAATCAGACATTGGAGAGGTACCTAGCAAAAGTTGTAGACAATCGACAACGAGATTGGGACAAGCACATACAACCGTTTTTGTTGTCATATCGAATTTTTCGTCTTTCTTTTCACGAAAGTACAGCAGTGACACCAGCTTTCGCAAACTTTGGAAGAGAATTACGGCTGCCTGCAGACCTGATCACCGGAATACCACCTGATGCCCCACGCAGTATAACCGATTATGCAAATGACTTGCGGAACAAAATGAATGACATTTATGAGCACGTCAGACAATCGGGCCAACAAATGTATGAGAAGATGAAAACCCGGTACGACCGCAAAATGAACAATAAAGGGTTCGACGAAGGTTCACTAGTGTGGTTGCACAATCCAGTCCGCAGCAAAGGGAAATCTCCTAAGCTTCAAGCGAAATGGGTCGGCCCGTACCGGATTGTAACCAGGATCAACGATGTAACCTACCGGATACAGAAAGGCGCAAGAGGGACTCCTAAGATCGTCCATGTGGATCGCTTGGCGCGTTATTATGGGGCCGATAATGCTCGGGACGAGCATGTCTTAGGAGGGGGCAGTGTTCCGCGAATAAGTCCACGTCATGTATCCGGCACTAGCGACATCTAGTGTCAGGGACGAGAGCGAGGGGAGCTTTCCAGAAAATGACATCACTAATCTTTCAACCGACAGCGCCATCGAGTCTCGGAACGAAGAACTAAGCTTCTAGAAATCAACACTCAAACTCTCGGCCCCTTGCGCGTGTTTACTTGAATATTCTGGATGTTTCGGTGCTAATTTGTATTTATAGGCGCTACAAGATGCGATCGGGGAAGTATTGAATTTGGCGAGACAAGCGAAGCTTCGGAGCGAAATAAAGTGAATCAGTGTGATTAATTATTAGTGTTTTAAGTTTTAATTGGTGTAAAGAAAATTAAAGTGTTAATTTAGGTAATTCTATCAGCAATTTTTATTGTCACGAACCTCAAGCTCGTAACAGTACTAACTTCGCTATATTTTATGATCTATGAAAACGATTTGAACGTCCATTTTTGTGTAACAATGAATTTTTCCCAAAATGTGCCTTTAAATAAAAACAATGCCAAGTGTAAAATTAAATTTAATTTAGAAACGTTAAAAATTTATATCTAATAATATAATCATAATGCTTTGGTACATGTATGATGTTTGAGTGCTATTTTAGACGAATAAAAACTCATGAATAAATATATTATTCAGTTAAATGTAAAGGAAAAAAAACGTCATAATCGTTGTTTAACAAAACAAAATACATTGGGGTTTTTTATTTTGGTGTACATGGTGCATATAATACAATATTTTTTACCGATCCCAACATAATACTGCCATTTTTTCTTCTTGTAATATTGTATGATCTCGTATGATCTGGGCAAGCATGATGCTGTCACATTTACTCCGATGTTAGGTATTAGGTGAGGTAACTGTATCAATATTTCAAGGAATAGTGGATTTTAGGTCGCAGAAACATATTAATCTATAAGTACCAATATTATTCTTTATCGCTCATCTTGTATCTTGTTTAAAATAACTTAATGACATATCGAAACACTTAATAACTTCACCTCTTAAAATTGTGTTGTCTGTCGCCAGTTGAGTAGCCTTAAAAAATATCGTCTGTTGATAAAACAGTTGAAGCTATGTATTTAATTGTCAGTATAGTCAATAGCGTAAAATTTCCTGCGTTGTGTAATAGCTGGAATTTATCCAAAAACCGTGTTTAGGCCGCATAATTTGTATTTGTTACACTTGCCCCACTGTCACACTTGCCTCGGGTGACTATACATAAAAATATGAATAGCTTTGATAAGAACAAAGATATTCATACTTTAATTATTGGGAACAAACACGAGCTTGTAATGCCTGTTACTAGAATTCACAAATGTATAGGGCAATGTATAATACACGCTTTTACAACAATATCCCAAAAAAATGTTCAAAGTTTGTCAATCAACAGGTTTAAAACTATTTTAAAGAAAAACTTATTATAATATTACGGTATACGTAAATGGAAATAACCCCTGGCAATGATATGATCAATACCATGCTGTTTCTATTATAATTCATATTTATAAAGTTACAGCCTATAAACGTCCCACTGCTGGGCACAGGTCTGCTCTTATTTGTGAGAGGGGTTTTAGGTCAAGGAAATGTCGCCCCTTCCCTCAATGCATGTTCGTGAACTTCACGTGTCTTCGAAAACATTATTTTTTTAGAAAATTATTGTAAGATTATAAAAAATAATTCCAACAGATTTGTCGCTAGTTCTTTACAGGATGGTGGTATTTTCCAAACAAGCGTTAAATAAAAAAAACTGATTTCTAGTAAGTATAATGTAATAATCTGTATTACGTAAAAATATTCGTATTCAGTTCATACTTTCTATGTTGAATGAATTTCTATATAGAACTAATAATGCAGAAGACATCCGTAATATTCGTAAAATAAAACAAAACTCATCAGTCGCAGAAAACAATACTTGCGTGATGTTGTTTTTGTGATAACTGTTCCGAATGATCCTTTGAAATTCAGTATATACCTATATAATTTTGATTTTTATCCAATTTTATACATAAAATTATTACTGTATTTTTTATATAATATTTTATCATCATATCATATTATAATTTGGAGACAATGACGTTAGATATGATGCCAAAAAAAGGATTAAGTTATTCCGGGGTTCGGAGAGTCCTGAGTTATTACCAAAGTCATCAAAACAGGTTTTGGTTTTTAATTCACCTTTTAAGGACGGTACTGCATTCATCCTTATTTGGAACTGCATGCAAAAACGATTCTACTTAAAATATGTTATGAATATAACGTGGTTAATATTCGTACAGTGTATTAAACATAAACAATGGCGTGGTGGGTTTACGCGGTTTCCAAAATTCACGTAACCTTTGTTATAGTTTTGATATTTTTGTACGTGATACTACAGTTGTCAGTATTACTAGTGAGACATTACCTTTGCAATATCAAGCAGATTCACTTCTGAATTTAACAAGACACAAGCATTTCACTGAAGAGCATACAGTGTTTACAGACGATGGCTATCTTCTCACAATATTTCATATGGTTAAGAATAGAAAATGTTTTAGCAAAATGAAACATCCCCCCGTGATTCTCATGCACGGATTGCTGATGAGCTCAGATACGTGGTTCGATGCGGGCCCTGAATCAAGTCTAGCCTATCTTCTTTCTGACGAATGTTTCGACATATGGCTGGGCAATTTTCGAGGGAACTTCTATGGAAGGAGGCACATTAAGCTAAATCCCGACGAAGATTCAGAATTCTGGAATTTTTCAGTTGATGAAATGGACATGTACGATATTCCAGCGATAGTAGACTATGTGATTAAGTACACTGGTGTGAAAAAGGTGAATTATATCGGATATTCTTAAGGTGGTGGGTCGTTTGTTATTATGTGCTCCGAAAGAGCAGGTTACAGTGCAAAGGTGGGACTGTTTATTGGTTTAGCGCCAGGCACAAGATTGACTCACACCCAGTCGAAAATATTTAGAGCGTTTGTAGATCAATTAAGAATTTCCGAAAATGCCTTGACCTTGCTTGGCGTCAAAGAAGTGTTCCCAAAGGGTGGTATTGGACAGACGATCCTGTCTTATATTTGTAAATACCATATATTTTAGAAACAATATGCAAAGCTGGTGAGACAATACTATTGTTAGATTCTGAACACGTGGGATCCGTAAATGATAAAACTTGGGAGATGATATTTGAAAATATTCCAGCTGGGACTTCGCTTCGCACTTTGACTCGGTACGGACAAAGTTTATGGAGTAAAAGATATCAAAAATATGATCACGGTAAATCAAGAAATTTGAAAGTATACGGCACATCGGATACCCCATACTATAATATTAGTGCTGTGTCAACACCTTAGGTAATTACTTTTGGCATGAGCGATAATTTATTTAACGTCAGAGATATTAAATGGCTAACAAAGCATTTACCAAAAGTACAGGAGTTGGTCGAAGTTGAGGATCCATTTTGGAATCAATTTGATTTTATGTACAGTCATTACATAAAACTTATGGTGTTTCCCAAGGTTTTTAAATATTTGACCAAATTCTCGCTTTAGCAATAAATAATGATATTTAACTGTTGATTTATTAAACTTATCTAACATATATTATGTTAATAAACTCATTTATCATAACAGGTATACATTTTTTGTGGTGGCATTCTTTAGAAGTCTGTGGAGTGGAGTGGTCTATATTCTGCGATGGGTTTGTAATAATGATGACTTTTTTTAAATGTTATTTCACAGTTTTATTTTTAAAATACCTTAAGATATACGTTTCAATAAATATATTGTAATTTGAAGGTGGTAACTTTTATGAAGTGTATATTTTTATTGCACTATATTTTAGTAAAATTTTGGATTAGCAGGAAGGGTGACAAATTCAGCCCACCAAAGCTTATGAACCGAAATGCAAATGTATGCTCACTTTTGAAGGCTACGATGTAATGCCTAGTTACCAGTAAAAGGAGTCTCCGGACTTCGATCACCATGCGAAAGCCAGCCTCACAATGTTGCTATTTAACGCTGGTACTCGTATTCTGTAAGAGCGTGGTTCAAACATTATATAGCTGCAGTGTAACTCTTCCATGTACGCAAAGGTTTCAAAATAGTTTTGTTATGATAACTTGGCAGCAGATAATTGTTAAAAGAAGCTAGGATTACTCAGAGGACGAGTTTTTCTTGACTTCACTAATATCCAGGTCACTCTTTCTAACTGAGGATACTTCTGGGCAAGTATCACCCCCTTTGACCTTTACAATCTGCCAAGCAATATTGAATGGGGTGTTGTGCTTCGGCTCAAAATATATTATGGATAGGTGGCATAATTACGTCTGAATAGTCAATAAATCTATCTAATCATAATATCAATCATAAGAGGTAATAACTCACCAGAGCACCTATGTTTGAATTTGGTCCAAATAAAATGTAATTAAACCCTTACTTTAAAATGTAATTAAAATGTTTCTCTGTAAGCTTTAGCTCGTAGATCACGATATAATATATACAGTGTGTCGAAGCTCCTGTTGAAGATATAAAATTATGTGCTAAACTAATTATTTAAATTTGCTAGTTTGACAAGTCTGTTATTGCTAATACGCCACGTAACAAGAGAGTTAAAATTGTTATATCGAATATTGTCCTGTCCCCGATGAATGTCACTTCGGAACGCCCACAAGCTTTTGCTACTTTTTTTTAACAGGCACTTCGACACAACATCTTCAACATCCTAAGAACCGTAATAACTCAGAGGATAAGCGCTCGTCTTAAACGTTTATTGTAGGCGAGAAAATTGTTAATTCCATATTAAATATAAAACTTGAAAATACTGTACAGACGTCTGCATGGCTGCATGCAATAAGAACTAAAAAAATGAACAATAGGTGCCTTCGATTAAAACTACTTTTACGGATTTTATCGCGTTTAATTTTTTTGATTTTTAATAGGTACTCGACGTTTCGGGTGTCTTCCAGCACCCATGGTCACGGGGGACTGAGGTGACTGACGTCCCAATGTCACTGTTCTACAAGGTGAAGGTACTTCGGGTATAGTACCTTCAGCTTCTTAATTATTATTTATGGTCCAATCTACGCAGAATGAACTTATACCATGGGTGCTGGAAAGCGGTCCTGAACCACCTGCGCCCATTGACTACCTGCATTACCTGCTGCACCAGGTCGTTACTCTATTCCTATCGGTATGAGGCTGCCACTCGAGAACTTTTTTCTCCATCGGTGGTCGGTTCTTCGAGCTATATGGCCGGCCTGTTGTCACTTCAGCTTACTAATCCGTCGGGATAGATAGGTAGCTCTGGTTCTACTGCAAATCCTCATCTCTAGACTTGTCACGCAATACTATTTGCCGAAAGGTATGTATGTGTTTTATAGTACGTTATCAGAAACCGGCTTGTTCGCGAAGCTGAAAGTCGTCGAGTCTGCGTGCGAGATGATTCGTAATGACTCTCGAAAACAGCACGTTGATGCGGCTCAGAAGGGAAATCTGTCATTAGTTCCTCAAGAGGGCGTTGTCACCTTTCTTCAAAAACAAGACCACCGCACTTCTGCTGCCCGCCTTCGGAGTAGTCCCACCATGGAGGACGGAATTAATGAGCTTCTGAAGGACTACAAGTAATAGTTTTCCACCCGCTTTCAGAAACTTTATTGTAATTCCATTCTCGCCCGGGGTCTTACCGTATTTAAGGTGCTGGAGAGCCATTCTGATCTCGCTCAAACTGACATCCGGGATATCATCGGAATAGTGTCGGATAAGATTCCATTTATTAAAACTGAATTCTAATAATTGCAAAGAACTGAAGCAAGTTTTCCACAACTGCTGCAGCGCCTAAAATGATTTTTGTATAATTATTCTCAATTACAATTAAACAAAAATCCTTTTTTAAACAAAATGATTTTTGTGTAATTTTTCAGATTTAAACAAAAATCATTTCTTAAACAAAATACAAAAATTTTCCTTTGGTTTGTGTAGTTTTAAAATTATGTAAGGAATCGCATACAAGTAGATCATTTTGCAACTACGTTACGTTTTACTTTACAAGTTTTGCTAGTAATCGACACTTATACGTTCAAAGTACAACAAAATAAAACGTTAATTTCTTAACAATGCCTACTACTATGCCCATCGAACTAACATAATTATACTGCTGGTCAATAACACGGTTATAGTAACATCTGTATGCGCAAAAGTAAAAAATTCTAGTCACTATGATATGCACTATCTGACTGAATACTGAATGCAGTCATGAAAAAGAAAAATAAGGCTATATAAGTCAATTTCACAATTCTCTTCGTTCTTGGAAGGCGTTTAACGGCAATAGCTATCTGTATTAAAATAACTCAGATGTTTTAAAACTTTTATAGCGTTTGTTTATTTGAAGAAATGATATTAAAATAACAAAAGAAGTAAAATAAATTTTATGAGCAATATTGTGTGTGATTTCATTATCTATTTGTTCTTAGCTTTACCTTTTTTATCGAGGTATAGTCTAACACATAGGCCTCGTGAACGCAAGGATGGTTTTTGTCAGGCTCTCATTGACTAAACTTGGGGTATGCCTTCTTCACCGTATTTTGTTATGGCTACGAGAATGCTCACGGACATATTTGTAGCTTCATTAGTAGCCCCTTGGTAGAAGTATATTCCTCCCTCCCATTTCCTAGTAGCAAGATGCACAAGAACTGAAAGCGGGATTTCCCTTTATTTATTTCTTAACCTTTTACATGGAGTTCCCTTTATGAAGGCCCCATCAAAGCTTCGCGTCTAGAGAGATTCTAAGAAAGACAGTGGCACCATAAATCATGCATCTTTAAAATAATAACAGTATTTTGATGTTTAACATACATTGTAATAAATTTTATACACATAGTTAAAACCAATTTTTTACATTGTTTACAAACCAAAATCAAATTTTTTACAAAGTAATAAAGATGGATTATATAAATTTTAGTTTATTTTATTATGTGAAAGGAGACGGGCGAAAGTTCATAGAAAGCTGGGCCTGATGTTACAGTAACGATTACTGCATTATTTTATTTATATACCAATACCATTTCAAAAAAACTAAAATGTTTACGACTGCTTCATTGTAGGAAAAAATATAGGATGTTATTGATTTGTATAAAAACAATGTTATTGCTTACGTTACGCTTACAATGTAATTCTTACACCAAGCTCTCACATTACACTTTAAGAAAATATTTATTAGACTTTATTGTAAACTAGATTTTAACATAATTTTATGTATTGTAGGACATTCACACATAGAGGATTCAGACGCCGCCGTCCAACTAAATTCTAGAGGTTTGAAATAATTATAAAAAAGCTGAGGTAGTATGAATTAAAAACACTTTCTCTTTTATTGATTTATTAATCGTCCAATTCATCATAAACATATGAAATATCGTCTAAAAACGGTGCATGCGGTATTAAATTCTCTTGATGCCTTGCCCAGCTTAGGTACCATATTATGGACATTACATGACAACAGCAACCTACAGTTCTTTTTCCTACCAAGCAATTAAAATAATACTGTTTGATGGCCTCTCCACCATTAACCTGTTCGCTCGACAACTGTCAACTGTCAACTAAAATACATGTTAAATATGTTTTTGAGCTTAAGTATGTCTCGATTTTATTCGACAACTTAATAACCAGTAGAATGGTTGGATATTGACAGTTCTCTTAGTAGGTTGCTGACCGTTTCTCGACACACTTCTATTTCATATCTCCCATCTTGTATATGTTCCCCATAATGGGACCTAGCCTACTTAATTTGATAAATACCTAAAGATATTTTATTAAATCACTATGTGTGAGCTGGGGAAAATCATTTAAGTAATCATT